GTATAGAAAACAGATTAAAGAGGAATTGCTTTAACTGAAGTGATTCAAAAACAGAAGTGAACAAGAAAGATCTTTCATGGGAACAGAAAAAATTAGGAAGGAGTTCTAGACCTAGTGCTGTTATTAACTGCATGTGAAACATTGAGGGCATTTATCAACCTCCCTGGCCTCAATGCTAACAGAGTGCCCAGAAGGAACCAACTGAGCAGACACATTGATTCTAGGCTTCTAGCCTCCAGAACTATGAGAGAATAAATTTGTGTTCTAAAACATTCAGCTGTGGCACTTTGTTATAGCAGCCCTAAGAAACTAATATAAATATTAGTAAAGAAACATAATGCTTTGCATATGAATTGCATTTTTAGCTTTACATATTACATATATGATATGTCTGGTTAAATAAGCATTTACAACAAGGCATGACCCATTCTCAATTATTTTTTCTTAAATCACATTTTATTCTAATTCACTACAGATGCATTGCATTACTAATCCAAGTTCTAGAAGTCTGAAAATATCTTCAGAAAAAATATTAATATGTCGATAATAAGCAATTTTTAGAAAATGTATCTGCCTTGAAATGAAATATAGCTACTGAAATAGTCCCATGTCTCCTGCCTCTGGTCTTTAGAGTCAGTAAAGGGGTAAGAGTTTGCCTTAATAGACGATCAGGATTCAAATACTGATTCTACTACTTCCTAGCTGGGACCTTGGACAAGTTACTTAGTTCTCTCACCTCAGTCCCTCAAATACCAAAGCATTGATCTCACGGGGTTGTTGGGTTAATTAAAAGAATATATGTCAAGGTCTCAGATGGTGATTGGCACATAAAGAATGCTATGGTCAGAATGTTGGTGTTCTCCCAAAATTCATATGTTGAAATTCTAACTCCTAAGGTGATATTACTAAGAGTTAGGGCTTTGGGGAGGTGATTGGGTTATGAAGTCAGGGCCCTCATCATTGGGATTATAAAAGAGACAGCAGAATGCCCCTAGCTCCTTCTACTAAGTGAGGACTCAGCAAGAAGACCCCTTCTATGAACCAGGAAAGGGGCCCTCCCCAGACAATGAATCTACTGGCACCCTGATTTTGGACTTTCCAGACTTCAGAGCTGTGAGTAATACACTTCCACTCTATTTAAGCTATCCAGTTTATGGTATTTTATTAAAGCAGCCTGAACGGACGGAGCTATTCCACATGCTACATGTTAGTTTCTTTCCTTTTAGTGCTTCTAACCCACTGGCATAAATTGATCTCATAAAGCAACTATGACAATGAAATTTATCTGGCTGATAAAGCAACTCACCTGCTCCAAAACATTATGTGGTCCTCCATTGCATCTATGAAAATGTTAAACACCATCCAAATGCTGTCCCCATCTGACTTTCTGGTTTTTTCTCCCCTATTTTGTAGCTATTGAAATTCCACCCTCTTTTAAAACCCAGCTCATATTTAATCCTCTACTGATAAGTTTTCCCAGATCACCTACATCAGACTTATTCTCTTTCCCTCCCCCCATCTTCCCATAGCACAGGATGAAGCTCTTAAACACGGCAGACCTAAGAGTTATTTGTATATGCTATGTCCCATTTGATAGATTATGACCTCCAGGAGGGCAGGGCTTGTATCTTTTCAGCTTCGTATCCCCCATAGTACCCAGAGGAGAGTTTTACACTTAGTAGATATTCAATAAATGCTTGTTAAACTTGGTTGAACTCACATAATTTTTTTTCTTTGTGGCAGATGCCCTAAGAAAAACATAAAATAAATGAATTACTTTTCTTCTTCCCATTGCTATATATATGCCCTGGGCTAGTGGGTATTTGCAAGCCTGGTTTAGAATTTAGGGAAGTCATCAATCTAAAAAAGGAGAGGAAATGCATTTTAAATCACAAGAGTAATATAGCCTTATATAAGGCCTTCTAGCAAAACAATTATCGATGGCTCAATAACCCAGGTGCTAGTGTTATTATGAACAAAAGTCTGAGGTTGAAAGACAATGAGTGATCTTAACTTTTATATTCCATAGGTATGCAATTCAATGAAAAATGTACAGATGGAAAGTTTAGATCTGAGAATCATATGTGGGTATCATAATGCAAATAATTGGTTTTCTTTCTAAAGAACATCTGTTGAAACATCTGAAAGCAGTTGTTTATACTGCTGCCAAAATGCTGAAAAATATAATAATTCTCCAATGAGGTTAGAAATATCCAGAGGAAGAAAAATACTTTTCATGTAGTTCTGTTTTTATTAAATCTTGTTGTTTCTCTAATATGGCACATAGGAGATGCTCAATAATATTTTTCGAATGAATTTTGAATGAATAGCAGAAACTCACTAAACAGTTGTTGAATGAATCATTTCTTCTTTGTTCAGACTTATAAGATGCATTTTCAGAAAGTAGTATGCCCGAGTTTTACCACATCATATACTATTTTTATTTTGCATCAATTTAAGTAATGCTACTCTTTCTCTGAACATTGTAAGATGTAATCGGCATGTATATCTTTAAGAAAAAATAGCATTAGAGAAAATATATGAGTAAACCTAGATATATGATTACAATGTTTTAATATTTTGATATGTTACTTTTATTTATTATCATGAAACACTTGAAATTTCAATTGTAGGCTTGCATAATCATGTTTGCTTCAACAAACAAAATTTGAAAATACTGTTAATGTCTATAGTTGATAGTTATGGTACCTCTAAGAAGATTCTAATTTGGGATTTAAAAGCACCAAAATATTCTGGGATGTGAAGATGACTGCAGAAGATGAAGAAGCCATTTCTCCCCATACCTCCTTTCTCAAATTTCCAGCAGCTCTCTCTTCTATACTCCTGGGTAAGTGAGGCGACTGGGATCCCCAAAGCCTGCCCAAATTTTACTCTGCCAAGTTTCAGTACAGAAAGAGCATGTTAAATAATAAATGTGAATTTGAGTGTAACTAATAAAATTGGAATGTTAAATAGCAGCATGCTTTTGAAAACCAGCCTCCTTGTGAGGATGCTCCCTGTGCAAGTCCATGGGAAATAATTCTAAAGGGAGTGATATTAATTAGTAACATAATTTATCTTCTGGAAGCTCTTTCCTTTGATGACCGCTGTGGTACAGTTTATAAGCCTTCAAACAAGTGCTCAAGGAAAATGGTTCAAACCATAATTTCAGCTTTGTTTTCCATCCTTGAACAGTTAAAAGAGTCAAATTTTACATATGCATCTGGATGATGGAGGATTGTGGAGTTATAAAAATGTACTTATGAAAACTTTTCAATGAAATGGTAAAATATCTGTGATGTAATAAGAGGAAAACAAGAGCAGAATCCATGTCTTCTGATCCCAGAATTCTTGGTTTCAGTTCTCACTACCATATACTAGGTATGCAATCTTGGCAAGATACCTGATTGTTCTGTGTCTCAGTTTCCTCAATGACACTATGAAAATAATAATAAAAAATCATCTCAAAAGGACATGAAGTGTTTAGAATAGTGCCTGGCACTGGCAAATAATAACGAATTATTATTTATTCACAATAATTTCAAGTTTATAAAGGAACAATGAAAGGTGAGAAGGACTACCTGGAAGGCAATAGCTAAACTGTTAATATTTGCTTCTAAATGATATGCTTATGGGCAATTCTTTTCTGTTTTATATACTTTTCAGTATGCATTCTTTTATAATAAAGTTGAAAAAGTAAGTTTTATGAATACTTGGTTTGATGGAAATTAAAGGTGGAAATCTGGAATAGGTTAAAATTTATAACTGATTATACTAAGGCATTAATGAAATATTATTTAAGCCCATTGTGCTGTGACAGAATTTACATTTACCTTATTTTACTTAATTCTAAATCCAGTCTAACTAGAAATTACTTTTTAAAGTTTAACCAATGTCAATTTTACATTCAGAAATAAAGTCAAATTTTATTATAATGTCAACATTTCGACCTACTAAAACTAAAAATATTTTAATTTTTGATTTAAAAAAATCCCACGCAAAAGTCCCAAAGGTGCCTTTCATGTTTAAGCTTTAATTAGCAACCACTTTGGTCTCTGACACATATTGCGCAGATATTGAAGTGTTAATATTACTGCAGCTTGATTACAAAAGGCAATGATTAATTTTAAAGCAGACAAAAAAGATATGCCCTGATTACAAAGGAATGATTAAGGCGGAATGTCAGACATTGCACATTTATAGCAGCCTTTGCCATCGTCGAAGGATAAGACTTTGCAAAAGTTTATATTTAGAATTCTGGGTACTTTGTACTTTACAATGCCAGAGTATTTGTGCCTTGCAGACTGAGCACCCCAACTCTGACAGGGCCTAAGACCTTCGGGGGGTCACGTGGCTCACAGGAACCCACCCTGACCACCGGATGGGCGCAACCAGCCGCCATAGTTTAATTCTCACAAGGCAAGGCCGACCTGAGGCCCTGGCTATAGCCTTAGGAAAGGTTTCTTGGAGAGGTATTTTTAGCAAGTACCATTTTGCTGAGAGAAAGAGCATTTTGAGGACCTTCTCCCTAAAATCAGAGGGGACTGGGATTAAAAGGCTGCTGGGAAATGGCTGCTGCCCAGACCCTCAGCCAAGATCCTGGGCCTCCATTTTTATTTGCCCTCAGAGCCAAAAACAAACCCGCAGAGAGGCGAGGCTTAGGCCAGGGGAGCTGCGTTCCGAGAGGGAGAAAGGCAGAGCTCGAATCCGTCTCAGGGCGTGAGGGAGAAATGCCGGGGTTTTGTAAATTGGAACGGGGTAAACAAGGGGCAAGGGCGGGAAGGGGCGGCCGTGGCACGCGCGTCCCCGGATCCGGGGCCTTGACTGGGTCCGCGGTGGGCTCGGTCCTCGCTGTGAGAGGCGACAGGGACTTGAAGACTGGTCCGTCTGGGAGTAGTCCTTGAAGAATCCTTCTTCTTTATTGTGTTTTCCAGTATCCTCAGGCTTGGTTATAAAATATTTAACGGCGAGAGAAGGATCCGCAGGAGCCCGGGCCTGAGATGAACTTAGAGTCCTTATTTCAGCACATCGTCCTCACCGAGCAGCAGGCCGAGGAGAGTCGCCGTTTGATGCGAGAAGGTCCGGGCCTTTCCGTCCTTTGCATGGGGGGCCTTTTGTCTTCTGGAGCTGGGTGCTTGGAGCAGAAGGAAATCCCAGAGGTAGTGGTCAGAGCAGTTAGGGGAGCTTGCTTGCCCTATTGAGGGAAAGATAGATGAAAGGTGTCTTCTCAAGCGCTACCGAAATCAGGACGTTAGAAAGATTGATGTGTTTAAAGATTTAATTTGTATTACAGTAAGATCCGAAACAACTAGATGTCGTGAAAAAATTAAGAAAGCAACAGAGAAGCTGAATGAAGAGAAAATCAAGTTGGAATCTCAGGTATTGACATGTAGAGCATGCTAATTATCACTTGAAAAAAAATCTGTCTTAACTTTTTGGGGCTATTTCACTACTTCACCAGTTGTCGTTAAAAGTAGGAAGCACACTACTTCTACGTTGGCTAGCATAGTTCATGTTACCTGGTCATATTTTAAAGTTCTGAATCCAGTGACACCTTCAGTTCTAATACGAATTTGCCCTAGAGAAACTAGTTAGAGTAATGAAAAATTCATCATCCATTTTGTGAGATGGTTAAGGTTTTAAAAGAGTGCAGTTGTCATTGGAGGAAGAATTATTCTACTTATTCAATAAGTAGTTGGTACAGTATATAAATTTTCAATAATAAATAATTTAAGTCTGCTATGTTGATGTAACAATTGAATGTAATGTTCAAATCAATTTGTGCCTTTTGTTTTTCAGTTCTCTACCACATTTTGGACATGTCTTTCATCCAAAAGTATACCTTTTCTGCTAGCGTTTCTCTCTTTTTCGCAGCGTTTGTAAAGTTCTGTTATTTCAAATAGAAGCAGGAGAGTCTGATAGCTTCTTGAAGAAGGATTTTGATGGGTGGGTAGAATTTTGGAGAGGCAAAGAGAAGTGGTAGGAGAAAAGTATTCCAGAGAGAGGGAAGAGGCAGATATGCCCAGGGCATATTGAGAGAGGAATCTAGTCAAAATAAAGAGCTGATATATGGGAATAGGAGGAAACCATTACGGGTTTTCGATCTGGGAGCAGTGTGATAAAAGTGGTTTTAGGTAGCCATGTGCTATGACGTGTGCTTTTAGTCCCAGCTATTCTGGAGGCTGAAGTGGAAGCATGACTTGAGCTCAGGAATTTGAGGCCAGCCTGAGCAACATAGGGAAACCCTGTCTCTACCAAAAAAAAAAAAAGAGTGGTTTGGGAAGATCATTCTGAGCTCTAATGGGGAGGATGGGAACATGACTTGAGCTCAGGAATTTGAGGCCAGCCTGAGCAACATAGGGAAACCCCTGTCTCAAAAAAAAAAAAAAAAGAGTGGTTTGGGAAGATCATTCTGAGCTCTAATGGGGAGGATGGGAACAGATAGGAAGCTAAGTACATCATTTAAATGTGTCACAATGAAAGCCTTGCTATTATGGGTAGCATAAATGGGTAGTTTTAAAAAATATTTATTCAACACCAAACAATGGACTAAACAAGCAATGTGCAATGGGAACTCTGTTTGAGGCAGTCTGTTTGCTTCAGATATGTCTATTTGAATTTACCACTCTGAGAAATTTCAGTTTTTTTGTTTGTGAATAAATTAATCATAGAACCTTTCTCCACCTGGTGAGCTTCAGCTCTTCTTTCCAAGTCTTAATCAAACATCATCCATAAAGCCCTCCCATGGACATCTTGGTAAAATTTTTTAATTAAACAACAACACATACTTGTGTTTGTGTTTGTATCCCCCGGTATTTTGTGAGCGACGTGTCTGGAATTTTTTTCTGACCATCTTTTATTCCCACTGCCTGTATCCAATACCTGGCATATAGTATACATTAGTGTATTGAATGAATTGAATACTAATAGTGTGATAGATAAAAGAGAGAGTCTTTTAAAATAGAATTCGGAACTATTATTTGGCTAGGCTCTAGCTCCTATTTTGCCTGTGAATAGCAGATAAACTAGTTGCTACCAACAATGCTAAAAGCTGGTAGGATACACAAAGCATTAAGAATGTCATGATGTAGCTTTCTTTTTCTTGAAAAAGAATTAATATACTTTCAGGCTTGGTAACTAGAAGCTAATAGAAGTAATATGTAAAATATGAGCCCTTAGTATATGCTGGACACTGTTCTAAATACTTCACTTACATTAACTTCTTTGGTCCTAAGAGGAATCTTGTGATGAGACACCATCATTATCCCCTCATTATAGGTGAGGAAACTGAGAGGTTAAATGACTCGTCCGTGACATATAATTGAAAAACAATCAAACTACCACAGTGAAAGTAGCAATCGAATAATGACAGCATATTTTATTAAAGCAGAGTTCTTGAGCTTATCTTAAACTTTTTTCTTTATGAAATTCACATATAATAATATATCTGAAGCTTTGCATCTAGTTTAGGGCAATATTTTTAAAAGGTCACTTATGTAAGTTTTTGCACAAAATACATTTTTCTTGGATTAGTGAAGATATTGACCTGACAGATAATAGATTTTTGAAAAAATTTACTCTCTGTAATATTTTTTTAGTTAGCAGTCTGTTTTGCCTGAAAATGGAAATGTAATTTGTTGACATATACACATATTTAAAAAAAGAACGTTGATTCAGTTGTCTGTACTAGAGAGAAGACAGAGCAAGTCCCTAACGTTGTTTAGAAACATTTCCTGAAATTAATTAATATAGGCTCATAAATGTGCATTGCTTTTTAATCAGCTCATATACATGGGTAATAATACATTTGCATCTTACTAATAAAATTAACATATGGGGTTCACAGTTCACACAATACTAATTTGTAGTTGAAGTAATTTGATTTATAATTATAGTCGTGTGTGTGTGTGTGTGTGTGTGTGTGTGTGTATAAAGATTTTAAAAGTGGAACAATTATAATGTAAATGACTAATGGGAAGAACTGAAGAAGTAATCACAAATTGATTTCTTGTTTCTTTTATTCTCAGAGTTAATTATATGTCTGCCAATAACAATGAAAATATATTTACTTGAATATTTGACTTGGCATTTATTGACCCATTTATCAAGTGTAAGCAGCATCAGGAGAAAGAAGAACATAATTTGAATAGAGCAGTGCTTGAGTTATTGTACAATGATACATTCAGAAAATATTTTGGCATTTATTTTGGTCAAAAAATGTATTTAGGAAGTACAGTATTCATTTTTTTTTTTCTGTTCTGTAAAACCCAGGTAGCATGTAATTAGAACTTGAATGATAGCATTTGCCTTTCAGGGCTCGATGAGTCCTTTAAAATATATGGTTGCAAAAGTCTCAGATTATACAGTATGAGTACTTTCTGAATTGGACAGCTACAGTATGCCTGGCTAGGTTTGGTAATATGAAAACAGAAAGATGAGAACATGCCCTGGATTTGCATTAATGCTTAACAATATACCAAAAGCTTCTAATAGTCACAGAAAGGTTTTATAGTACTGATGACAGAGCAAGCCAAAAGTAAGGACTAACAAAACAATTGTTGTTTCTTTTAAGCATCTAAAAGAATTTCTTCTATTTTAAAAAATGGCATATAATTAAAATTTGGGCATTTAATTTTTATAAACATATTACATAAAACCAAATATAATGCCATATTCCCTTAGGAGGGAGTAAATGAAGGAAAATTGGAAGCTATTTTGTGAATATTTTGTTTCTTTTTTCAATTTTAACTTATTGCATAAACATTATAATAATAAAAGAATATTTCATGAATTTTTAAAGGAAAGTTATATTGAAATAAAAAAGTAACTTAAGGTGGCTCCATTTATTTCTTTACTTCAAAATCTACATGTACCTTTTTTTAATTGGTAAAAGTTCAGAACCCTCCCAGAACAGCAGGCAAAGTCATACCCTTTAGCACTGCATTACGTAATTAGAGAAAGGATAAAACCACAAATTATTATCATTTATAATATTGAAATGGAGCTTTGTAATCGAAGTGTATTCTTTTGTTTATATTTAACCAAAGAAAAATTTATATCCTGCCTAAATTTAATCTTATTGTTGATTAAAAGTGACTTAAAAACATGGATAAAAGAAGGGCATTATTTCTCTCCTCTAATTAACGCTTGTTTAGATAGCATGTGAATTATTTAATCTTAATTTTAGAAAATAAAGTGGCAATTCTGTTTCCCAAAATTTAATACATAAGCCAATTTTGGGGGTAGCTACACTTTGTTGCTTATAATCTCTATGTCTTTACATGAAATTCCTTCAAGCCATTTGGTTTAAAATGTTGTAAGTCCCTGTGGAAGTAGAAGTGGGGTGGGATCCAGAGATAAGGTAAGAATTAGCCTTAGACAAAAGGAAGGATAACTCTTGCATTGTACACTAAAAATAATAGGTAACATTTAGTAAAGAATTACTATATAGTATACCTGTGCTTAGCATTTTACAAACATTATCTCTGTTAATTCTGACAAGAATCCTATGAGGTTGGTATTATTGTTACCCCCATTATGCATTTGAGCAAAATCGAGACTCAAAGAAATTAAGTAACTTGCATGAGGCCACATAAATGGTGGTCAATAATAGATTTAAGATTTGAATCTATATCGGTAGACTAGAGAGCCCTCACTCTTAACCACTCTAAACCACTGTACTATAGTGTAAAAGGAAGGAAGAAGGAAAGGGTGAAAGCAGTAGATACAGGTACATTTGAAGATTTAGTGACAGGAAGTTGAAGGCATGATATGCTAAAAGTAGTTTCTTAGCTTTATCATGTCAATGATTGATAAGTATGTGTCAGGTATGTTTAAAGAAGAGTAAGAATGTGTCATTTCTTTGTTCCTCTGCTTTATCAGTTGAGTAACCATATGCAAGTGAGATAATACTGTTAGTTTGGAAAGATTTCCCTATAATTATGGCTACTCATTATTAAAGATCCATATGAGTCAGGCAGCAGGTTAGGATGAATAATATACGGTCCTTGCCCTTGAGGGACTTAAGTCAGAGATATTACCCATTCCTTACAAAGGAGGCTCTGTCAGCTTAGGGTGCTTGCTCTTGGTTGCAAGAAATAGAAATTCAGTTCAAAATGGTTTACCAGCAGTCCCCAACCTTTTTGGCACCCGGGACCGTTTTCATGGAAGACAATTTTTCCATGGACCGGAGAGAGGGGGGATGATTTGGAGATGATTTAAGTACATTACATACATTGTGCACCTTATTTCTATTATTACATTGTAATATATAATGAAATAATTATACAACTCACCATAGGTTGGGGGACCCTGGCTTACACAATATAGGGAAATTATTGACTTATGTAATTGAAAAGCCAGAATTTGATTCTAGCAGT